TGAATCTTTTTGCTAATTGACGTTGGAGTTTAAGACAAAGATCTATGTTCACAGCTTTTACTTAGTGTTCATGCTTGGAAAAACTGATTTGTCCGTTTAGGGTTTAATTAATATGTTCTCTATTTGCATAATCTCAGTTGCTCTTAATAAATTTAGCAGAGTTTTTCCTGATATAGAAATCGCCAACTTCCATGTACTGTATAATATTAACAACCAAAAATGTGCATTTAAGATAAGTTATTTGACTTGCAAGCTTGGTGAAGATATATGGAAGAATTCAATGAAATTATGTTGCATCCCATATATATTGTCAGGAAAATCTTGGCATAGTCTAAGGAACAGAAAAAGATGAGTTTAAGCTGGAAAAGAAAGAGAGAAAATTAAAAGAGGAGGTGGAAAATACAGCAGCAACAAGAATTAATCAAATAAGATGAAAAAAGAATCCAGCAAAAAGTGAAGAAATTGTATTGTACTTGCAGTCAGCAAATACATGACGGGAAAGAGTAATAAATAAGGAGGTAAATGATATGACCGGTCCACACTATTCTTCCCCATTAAGATTTATTTTATAGTACAAAATTTATATTATAAAATAAGTCTTAGATCAGAAGAATAACTGTTAAACTCAAGGGTCTGCAAATGTAGATTGTTAATGGATGGACTGGACAAAAAATGAAGAAAATTTTTCTAAATTCTTTGAAACACAGTTGGCAAGGAATTACAAGGATGCTTCTGGGCTTACCCCTGTGCGAGTCCCCCGACTTTCAGAACATATTAATCATGCATTGGAAAGTTCCGGAGGTATTTTGCAAATATCCATGGCAATTAATTTTTTTCTGAAAAAAAATTAATTTTTATTACTTTAAAAATTTGTTATTTAGTTATTTAATTGTTGAGTAACAAAGAAGTGATGATTTTTTTTATTTAATTAGATATTGAAAATTCACCATCTTCTCAAATTGGTTCTCACTGTATTTTATTATCTAAGTTTAGAATTTGGCAGATAAATAAAGTGTAAGTGAAATATAAGGTGAGATCTCGTATCAAAAATAGAAATATAAGGTGAGATCATGAGATAATTCCACCATTTTAATTTTCACATTCTTAAGGGTTATATAAAGTTTAATTAGTATCTATGATCGACTATCTGGAAAACAATGTAAAATTTGTGCGGGTCTATAAATATGTGTGTGTGTGTTGTGCCATTGTGATTCTCTTTATTTTTTGATAATATCAATTTCTTACTTCAAAATACAGGGAAGAATTGTCAGTGTCACAGACCCACAGCTCTGAAACATAATAAACAGCAACAACAAAATGCTCTGTTCCATTGGATGGAGTTTAAAAACATAAATTTTTCTTTTCTTTATTTTCATTATTTTACCCCCAATTAAACTAAATCAATTAAAAATATTTAATTTATTTTTATAACATATCAAACGCAATTATTTTTTTGATAAAAAATATTTATATTTTCGTTCGTATAATTATTCAGATTCTCATTCTTACCTGACTCATTTTTATAAACCAAAATAAACATAAATCAATCGTTCACATTGTGTGAAGAGTAGTCTCAGCCTTGTTTGGGGTAGAAAATCACCATTGTTCTCCTAATATAAAATTATCTAATTTATACAAACCAATAAGATAATTTTAACTAATTTATGTCTTGAAACTTCTTTCCATCTTTATACTCTTACCCCTAACTAGTACTCTTAATTTTCTTAACTTTACTTAGGCTAAGTCATTTTTCAAGCAAAAGTGAATATCAGGGAATTGCAAAGATATTCGCCATAACAAATCTATGCCTTGATGACCATTCCCTCAATTGCTTGGCCTCTACATCTAATGCATGCACTCGATTTTAGGAAGTTGTAACTATAAGTACATTAATTAATCAGTGTTGCATGTAGAAAAGAATTAACATTTTAAATTAACAAAGCAGTATATGAATCTCAGGAAAGCCAAGTGCAATTATTTTCATATCCCAGAAGGACAAAAAAAGAAAAAATTAGAAAACGATATGGACCAACATGCATGTGCATCCTATACGTTCCTTTTGCTCTCTTTCCTGAGAAAGAGACGACCAAGCCAATTGGAATGGTGTGACAACAAGGACCGGCCTATCGAGAAAAGATTCAAAAGGCAAAATCACCAAATAAGATATTTAAAGGACAAAGTAATTAACCCTAGTATTTCAAGATTACAATACGTATACATCTCCAGAGCAAACCACAGTTGCCAGCCACTGCCCATCAGAACTGGTAAACATTCTTATCCTGGGAGGCTTGTGTAGGAGGTAACTTCTCGTCTTGCTCCTAATCTATGAACAACCCCACACATACAGAGATAATGGCTCAGATTGTCCTTTCACTTTTGATAACCACATGCCAGCATGATTACTCGAAAATGAAATTAGAAGTTTATAGTACAAACATATATACGAATTTGGCTTCAAATATCCGAGAAGAATACAGAATGGCAATCAACAAATGATAAATAGGATAACAAAAATTAATATAGCTTTGGAACATCTGACTCGTGCAGCACAGAGCACAAAACACTACAGTTGAAAGAGGTTCACAAAAAGTGTAATCATCACATCATGCAAACAACCGCACTACTCAGTCAAGAGATGGACTATGGAGCAAGCATAAATAAGAAATCGCCGATCAAAGAAATGTAAAGAGGACACATTTTACAGAAAGTTACAATTGGAGGTTCACAAAACAATTTAAAGGGAAAAGACTTGTGCCAGCTACGATATATCCTTCGATCATGTCCAGCTACTATCAACCAAGAGGGATCTTGAGTAAAAATCATTGACTGAGCAAATGCCAGTTTACCAGGGAGTTTCCTGTCCCTAACACTCCATGTACTTTCCCAACTTCAGGCCTCTTCAATTCAAATAGACTGGGCTTCACATGAACAGAGTGTGCAAATAGCACACCTGAATTAGCAATGGTGCTGCAAATTATCTTCCGTGATGACTCGCTCTTAACTTGAACAAGCAGATCAGTTTCTGCAAAGCCTCCAGCTTTGGCATGTATAGCATCAGGGAAGAAACCTTCTTCTGGTTCTACAGAAATAATATTTGAAAAAAGAGAAGACTGGACTATAAGCATTGCTGATTCATTGAAGGCCGTTTTCAGCACTAATTGAATGGTTTTTCTCTGTGGTGCAGGGAAGACATCATGTGGAGAGAACTCAGTGAACCCCTTCACAGCATGTGCAAAAAGCTTGGTGTCATCACCTGCTGAAAAGATAAGATTTCATTCACATTCTTAGCAAGGGATATACGAATTGTCTCTAAATAAATGATTCGTGTGTAGGAGGCATCAATTTGAAAATTTTGTAACGCAGGGAAAGATGTTAAAATTTAAATGCATATGGTCTACATATTTAGCAATGACCAAAATGAGGAAGGGAATCATGGACATAGAATATGCCCTTCATATTTCACTTGGTTCAAAAGAATGGGGGTGGCGGTGATCAAACTAGTGAATAAATGGTCATAGAGGAGGCTTCAATGCCATGTCATGGACCACTTGATTCACAAAGTTATTAGGAGTTTCATTGATAAACATATCATCTCTAACAGCGACTACTGTCTGGGATTTGAAGTTTGCAGCTTGATAATCAGGTGGTCTGGAGCTGGCCATCAATATAATAGACAGGAATTACCAGAAGCGGCATTTAAATCTAGGATTTAGGAATATGTTATCCCATAATATATATTAGAATTTTTCTAGGTTTCTAGTATTCATGTTTGAGCTGCAATGAGATGTTTTTCCTGTTGCCTTAAACTTGCTTAGAGTGATCCAGGGAAATCATCCTAAGAATTATGAATATATTTCACCAACTAGCGCTAAAAATGAAGGTTTTGATGTTTCGACAAAAAAAACAAAACTATTGGATAATTATGCTGCTTTTTCTCGTTTGCAGTGAGATGCCCACATATTCATATCATGGCAGACATATATACAGGTGAAAAATGACCTAAAACTTTCACATATTCATATCATTAGCATTTGTACTCCAAGTCACACTTGTCCTAAAATTATATGGAATTCGTTTAATAGAAACATAGCAGAACACATGGAGAATCTATAGCAAGCCTCATAATTCAGGATAAGAAATCCAACCACTGACCTCAGGATTTGAGACCCCAGGATTTGATGATTTGGACGTAGGTCTAGAGTTTAATTTAATTTCTTAACAATAAATTTCTCTTGGTATAACAAAAGGCCATTTATCCTAAAGGGACCTAACAATGATAAAATCCAACTCCTTTTACCATAAAAGAGTGAATAAAAAATTAAATAAATATTCTTATCACTATTTCTCTTTTAAGGATTTTCATATATTTAAAGGTTAATAAATATTATTCCACATGAGTTGCCTCTAACGTTGCATTTCTTGGATTTGTATTTGTACACAATTGGAACGACAAATATGATCACGGGTTTTAAAGGTAAGCAGATTTTCATCTATCATATTATAACTTTGATGTTTTGCAATGGTTCCTTGTTATTATTTTTTAATCTCATAAAATCACACATAAATATCTAAGTTTCTTACTATATTTTAATGTATCTTTTTCTCTTTCATTTACAATAAAACAATTTCAATGATATCATCCGTGTATTATTCTCAGTGATCAAAATTGAAAGCATACAGGAGAGCTTGCCTGCACTTAGTGAACCTGTTGCTTCTTGTGCTCTGCACTTCGTGATCTTATATTTGCAAGCTCTTTCGATGGCTTCCTCACGGTCAAGCTCCATATATTTCTCTGATGATCAGAGAAGAAGCAGCAATAAGGTAAATGGAGACAAAATATAGTAGGGAAATTCACACTTATGAATTGATATATACGAGAAATCTTTCTTCTTTCTTAATCTGATGCATAATTAACTTTCTGTAATTATGAAATATTTGAAGTAAGAAATCATCACCTTATGGCCCATTTGGTGGCAAGGAATTGGAGGGAATCGCTCAGTTCAATCCAGCTGTTGAAATTCTTCAAGATCCAATAGAAGTGGGCAGATCATCCAACTTGAGACAGCTTCTTTGTGAAAGGGGCAACCAAGCCCCATTGTAGATTTGTAGTTGATGGCGAAGTCAGCGGCTGACTGATGACGAGGAGGAAGACGATGGTCGCTTGAAAACAAACTCGACGTGCATTGGTTGAAAGATAATACAACCAGTGCATGTATGCCACTGCAAACATAAGGAGGCTGTAATCAGTAGGTACAAACCAAAAAGAGGTACTAGGAACAGAAATCATATCTACCACTACCACTAAAACTACAGTACCATACATTTTTGAAGTGAATGGGAGCCATATATGTATCAAGTTGAAGTGGCGGGCGCATCATTCAACTTGAGAGCTTTAATGCCCTTTCTTTAGATTGAATTTTTTTAATGTAATTTTGACATTCAGCTATGGGGCACACCCCACACTCTTTGATCTTTGCTTCTGCTATCATTCTGCCATACAGCTTACGGAGTCTGAATTTAATATCAACACATGGACGATAACTCCTACTTTGAGCATCTCTTTCCTTTTCTTCAATCTTCCTTTTTAGTTGTCGTAATGAATCTAGACGATACCAAACACAAACATGATCTGACGACGTATGCTTAATCACCAAAAACGAGCTGTCTTCAACCCTGCAGGCATATTGACCATCAACAAACCATCTGACCTCAGTGTCTGTCCCCTTTTCAGAAACGACGGCGCCAAAAAAGAATCTCCCATCCCAAGGTCGTGGAATCGAACTGAGATTCACAGTCATGGGATCCTCTTCATTACTCTTAAACTTGAACCACTTTGGAAGTCTTACCCTTGGATATTCCAATCTAGCAAAGCCATAAATGGCTTTATTTATCTCAACTAGCGCTCTTGCCTCGGCAGCTTTGATTGCCCGTCGATTCAGCTTCTTGCAATTTGTGAATACAAAGACATGCCTTATCTTTTCCTTCTTCACCTTCGTTCGTCAAAGGTAAATATTGTATAGTCTTAAGGGATATGCAGTTAGCGGCATACAATTCCAGGATAGAGGGAGGGAGGTCCGATAGAGAATCAAACCTTTTACATCCATCCAGTTGAAGACGTTGCAGGCGTGAAAGATGTTTGATGCGTGAAGGCAAGGTCTGTACACGAGTCCGTGAGAGATTTAACTCACGTAATGATGACAGCAACCTGATGTCATTAGGAAGTTTAGATAATTCATTGCAATGCGGAAGCCATAGAACTCCCAAAGCACGCATCTTATCACACTTGGACAGGAGACGTGATGCTAGCTCATTATACCCTCCAGCTTCAAGACGTCGAAGGTCACGCAGCTGGATCAATTTGTGAACACTTGTCACATTTCTGCAATTTTATAGAGACAATGAACGAATTTTGCTGCGACACTAAACTGACGAGCACAACTTGCCACTGATGGCTGTTCCTGAAAGGTCTAAATCGAACTCTTCCTTTTCTGAGGTCACTGAAAATCCCTCCAGACTTGAGCAACCACATGCATAGAGCCGAGTGAGAGATCGGAGATGGGTATCGCTTGTAAGGCTGGTAAGGGAGTTGCAATCGATTAGCCATAAACCACACAGGCCGTGGGGAGATAAAATAGATAAATGAACACTACGTAATTTTGAATACCCATTGAGATCAACATGTTCAAGACGCGTGGCCTTGGAAAAATCTGGGAGTTCAATCAAGTCTTCTGATCCCGCAAGCGTGATTTTGGTTAAGTTCGGAAGATTATGTAAAAACATAAATTACATGATAAGATTGGTGGCCAAAACTAAATTAAATTACTCATCTATTTCTTTTTATAAGGTTTCGCTACCTGTTTTGCTGAGAAAATTAGTTGAAATTGGCTATTGTCAACGAGTAATCTTTACAAGTAAAGATCATGAAACTTAGTGTGACAGTGAAAGACGAAGGCATTGTTATAGAATGGGTTATCAACATTTCATTGAATTTTGTAAGAGATTTGATCTGGACCTTTAGAAACAGGACCGAGGAGAGAGTACTTAATAAAGATTTTCCAACTGATGTATTAACAACATTTCCTAAGGAAAAAAATATAAAATTCACCTGCATCCCATTCCAGAGTCTTGTTAAACTGCTGTAGGGCATTTGAAATTGAACAAGATTTTCGGCCTTGAATGATGCTGGCAAGGATTTTAAAGGGTATCCCATCCAACGCAATTTTATGAGTCCTTCTGGCAAAAAATCTATACCATCAGGAATTTCTACATCGATTTCAACCCCATCGCAATTGAGGAAAAAATAAAAATTAAGAATCTTTAGGTTGGGCATTGAGCGAAAGGCTCCAGGACTTAAGCGCATCTCTCTAACTTCTCGAAGGTTCAGTCTCACACCTTCAATGGCTCTACTTCTCTAACAAATGGAAAAAATAATATTAGTAATAAAAATATAAAAATATTATGTAAATTAAATAGGAATACTGAATTCAAAAAAAATTTTATATAAAAAATATGAAGAAATTTTACTCTTACCGCTTTTCCCCTCAATATTTCATATATTTCCTTAGGATCCCACAATCGACTGCGCTTTCTAAGATGCTTTGGTGACTCATCACGAACAACCTGTCGACCCATTTCTCTCAGTAGATCGTGCATTGATATTCTCCCAAATTCATCAACTTCTAAAAGAGCCGTCTCTCTAAGTCTTTTCAACTCAGAATAGATTGAATAACCACGTCGGGCTTTTAACAAAGGGAAAATTTCACTGTAGGACCGCACAAGACAATTAATCTCAAAGAGCCCCCAAAACTTTCTGAAACTTCACTGCAGGACCAAGGGGCCAATCTGATATTAATTCCACAAACGAAATGACGACACTGCCCCTAGTAGAAGGGAACAAGTGCGAGAGAGTGTATTTGCAAGGGGAACTAGCCAATTTGCAGAATAAATACATATGTTCACACGTAGAATCAGTCCGTTTACATGTGGACTGGTTCACCTGATGAATGCGTCCGTGAGGGAACAAGTGCGGGAGAGCGCATTTGCAAGGGAAACTAGCTAATTTGCAGATGAAATACATATATTCACACGTGAAATCAGTCCGTTCACATGTGGACCGGTTCACCTGATGCATGCGTCCGTGAGGAAACAAGTGCGGGAGAACGCATTTACAAGGGGAACTAGCTAATTTGCAGAATAAATACATATATTCACATGTGGAATCAGTCCGTTCACATGTGGACTGGTTCACCTGATGCATGCGTTCGTGAGGAAACAAGTGCGGGAGAGCGCATTTGCAAGGGGAACTAGCCAATTTGCAGAATAAATACATATATTCACACGTGGAATTAGTCCGTTCACATGTGGACTGGTTCACCTGATGCTAAGGGTAGTGGCGTCATTTCGTTTGTGAAATTAATATCAAATTGGCCCCTTGGTCCTACAGTGAGATTTCAGAAAGTTTTGGGGGCTCTTTGAAATTAATTGTCTTGTGCGGTCCTACAGTGAAATTTTCCCTTTAACAAATCTCTTATCGCGTCAACATCCTCAATTGAAAGACATCCCTTAAAATCATTATCACCATTAACATCATAATCAATAGTTAAAAGACATGCGATATCCAAGAAACTCTCTCTCTCTCTCTCCCCATCATCAAGTCCTTCAAGACTTATTTTTAGGACTTCGTTGATTTGTGGATCAGGTAATTTTTAAAGTTTTTCCAATCGGCTTTCCGAAACTTTTTGATCTCTCTCATTAGACAAGGAGGAACCTAAAACTTTCAGGGCCAATGGATTTCCAATTGCATACCTAGTCACTTTCTTTGCCAACCTTTCTAGAGCTGGGTCAGGGATAGGGCAGTCTTTTCCAAAGGCATGTGAAGAGAAAAGTTGAAACGCCTCATTAGAAGCTAAACCCTTTAGTTCATGTATATCATCACGATTTACCTTAGTACCAAGGACTTTGTTTATCTCCAGTAGTTATTAAGATTCACTCCCTGGTTTAAACCAATCGCGCCTTCCAACCAAATTGTTCACTTGGTCATAATTATCAACATCATCAAAAACAATGAAAACTTCTTTCCGTCTAAGTCTCGTCATGTCATAAGAGCTAGTGTGAGGATTTTTATCCCCTAATAATGCCGAAATAAGTTCTTTCTTCACACCCTCTGCTCCACGATTCTTTGATTTTTCTCCCACTTTTTCCCCAAAGACAAACCCTTCGTATTCAGAATGCCGCTTGTTATACAATGCTCTTGTAAGAGTTGTTTTGCCCAAACTACCCATCCCCCAAATACAAATAATTCGGACGTCGTTGGACCCCTTGTCCAACAACGATTCGACGTCTTTCATTCTCTCTTCATTTCCAATCAAGTCTTCTCCATTATCTTCACTTGGACACTGCTTGCACAACTCTTTTTCAACACGCTCCACTATTTCTTTAATTTGGTCTGCTTCATTATCTCTGCACGCCATTGAAAAAGTAGAGATGCACCAAATTTAATATGGCGTTATCTATTTAAAATTTTTAACGAGTCCTAATTAAATGCAACTTTGAAGATTTGTCAATTTCGAAAATGTGTTCTTATTAATAGCTTTCTTGAGAAACATTACTCCCCTGTTTTTTATTATAAGAAATAATTATGAAGTATGTCATGTTTTTATAACAGGCATTTCGAAGTTGTCTGAAATTTTGTTTATTACTTTTTTATTTTAGCCTATTTAATTACTTATATTACTCATATTATTACATTTAATTTCCACACATTCTATTTTTCACACATTATCTCTCTTCCATAATGAGGGTATTTTTGACAAAAAGGCTATACTTTTTACCCATGTATTGTCCTCAACGTAATTTGGGTAATTGTCTATTGTAAAAGGTGAGAGGGAGAGTACTAAATAATTTAAACTAGACATATAAAATTTTAGCTTAATTTAATGGCTATGGATGGATCATAATGAAGATAGTGAGACGGGGATTTAGATGAAAAATATCGTGACAATAAAGTTGATGGACCTAGTGGACTGGCTAAGCAAAGTGTATATATATAAGATCCTATACCCTCATTATGATTATCAACTCCCATGAGATGCTCAAAGATTGATTTAATTTAGCCCCATGCATCATGGAAGAACATGGTAAGAGAACGATCATAAGCATGTAGTTACCTATTGGCGATGGGGAACCAGATATACCAGCAGCTTCAGCGAGAGACTTCTTCCACTTCTGCCTTAGCTGCTTGCTGATGCCTCTGCCCTTAAGTTGTACAAATGCTTTCTTGTAACTCCCAGAAGGCTTCCTCAAGTCTGAAGGATCTACTCTGTAGAACACTGGCATCGCACGGTGACCTTGATTTTTGCAAGCTCCTTCAAACACCACGTGGAAGATGCATAGTTTTCTGAGAACACCACAAGGAATAGAGTTGAATCTTCAATGGCTTTCTCAAGAGATGGCCATATGGTCGGTGAATGTTTTCATTGTGCTTCTGCGAAGAGCATCGCAAAGATGGCTGGTGAAATTTCCGCGGGTGTCCTCACCTCTAAAACTTACAAAAATATCATATGGCTTTGGATATTGAGAAGATGGAGCAGGGGGAGGAAAATGAAGCCATATCAGATTGCTTTAATATGCGGAAAAATTAGAATTCGCTGGTATGTATAGGAAACAAAATGAATAATAAATAATTGTAAATTACAAATAAAAGCAAAGCTAAGTTGGAGTCCGTGCAGCTTCTGAGAAGTTTCCCTAATTAAAGAAAGGCGGTCCTCCCAAGTCAGAATTTTCCAGTGCTCTTAGGGCCGTTGAAATGGAGAGGAATGAAGTGGAAATTTTTAAGTGATAACATGACTGGTAAGTATTGAAATAGAAAATGAGTTTATGAAAATGAATTGAAAAATTATGTAATCTTACCATATTACCTTTAACGAAAGAATATAATATTTTTAAATAAAAATACTTTTTAACCTTAGAGAATAATAATATTATTAAAAATTTAATAATTCAAACAAATAAATAAAAGTATATTATAATTTAAATAAATATTATATTCAATATCAATATAAAAATGACTCTAAATATTAAATGATTAAAAATAATTAAATAAAAATTAACTAACAAAATATAAATGAAATGTAACAGAAAAGTTTGCACAAAGAATAAAATAAATTCACAAGCAAAAAAAGCAAGGAAATATAACCAAATAATATATAAATCTAACAGATATAAATAAAGTCAATTAAAATGTAAATTTTTAGATGACGTACATTTGTTAATTTAAATTTAATTGGCTCAAACAATTTATTATTGACAAAGTTTTAAATTTAATTTTTAATGCAACAATACCCATTTAAAAATTATTTGTATTGGAAATTTATTTTCAAGATGGTGAGCAAACGTCACAAATTCGAATATACTAAAAAAAATTGAATTTGATGCAGCAAATTCAATTTTTTGTACATCAAATTCAAATATGTTTATTTCTTTCTTGCAATTTAAAGTTTAACTATAAGTTTATTAATGTAAATTAGAATTTGTATAAACAAATTTCAATTTATGCACCATACATTCTAACTTTTTGCGCAAAATTTAAATTCATTGTGTTTCTATCACACTCTGTTTTTAACGCTCTGAGTAAAGTAACTTTTGATTATATATAACTCTCTCAATTTAAATTCAAATTGAGCAAAGGACCTATCATTGACAAACTCTCTGAGTTTAGTTTTCAATACCGCAAGATCCATTCAAAAACACTTTATAATTTTAAAGTTATGATAAAAAAAATTGAGCAATTTTCAATAACAAGTATTTTTTTTCAGATCAAATAAATCGTTTTTAACTCATCAAAAAAAAAATAAATCGTTTTTATCCAAAATTCATGGGAACAAAAAAGGCCTGGCTAGATGCTGGGGAAAAACAAGCTTTTTTATTCTATAAACATTTATTCTCACGAGATTTTTTTTTTCTCAGCAGATCTTGAATCGTATTTGAAACATCTTATTTAGTTTATATAGGAGCATTTTTTTATTGAGGTTTATATTGTTAAAAGTCTTATTGAATGAAGGTTGATATTTGTTGGTCAATTTATGTGTGCTGGTTGAGTGACTAAATGCTAAGAAAATAGATAAACATATGGCAAAGATGAATATTTAATGATATATTGAGTGTTCAAATAACTTCACATGATTTTATCGATTAGATTTTAAGTATTTTATTCAAATTTAAAGGAAAGTATGGTCTTTTATATTTTCCCGCTTGTAATGGAGAATCAGCTCCCACCAAAATTGGTGGGAACTCATCTTCCCTTGCGTAGTGGAACATCCGTCGTCATCCGAGAAGAGGTTGTAGGGAAATGTAGGAACCAAACAGGCAGGCACGACGGAAAATCAATACTCCTCTAATCCTATTTATAAGGTACTTCTAACATGTTTCATACAGATGAAGAAAAACCTTAAACTGCATTAACTCTTCATTAAAATATAACAACCTTTCGACTTTACTTCTATTTAATATATACTCCTTTAAAAAAAATACTCGTAACTATCTACACTATAATAAATGAAGGGTAATATGCTACATTCATAGTAAAAATTTAATAAAGTAACTTATAAATAGGACAAAAAAATATTTTCTCTCTACCCTATAAACAGGACTAGGAGAGTATTTTCTTTTTCCACCCCAAGATTTTCACTCCACCCAACGAGCTCTTAGTAAGTGGAAATTATCCTTTTAGCTTGACCCAAAAGCTTAGTCAAACCTCCCCAGGGCAGCTGGGAAAAAGTAAAAAGTCAAATCAGATTTCTGAGTGAAATTTATTACTTCCTCCGTTCCTTATTATAAGAGACATTTGATACTTATAGCATGTTTTCATATATAAGAGACACTTAAAAGTTATCTCAATTTTTTTGTATTGATTTCCTATTTTAGCCCTATTTATTTTATCTCCAACTCATACTCTCTTTCCCTCCTACTTCTCTTTTTTTTAATAATTTAATTATTCTCTCTCATACTCTCTTTCCTTATTAATGGAGGTATTGTTGGAAAAAAACATTATACTTTTTACATATTAATTGTCCTCAACTAATTTTAACTGTTTTTTTATCAACGTAATTTGGTTATTTGTCTCTTATAATAAGGAATGGAGGGAGTATAATAGAGCACCATAATTACCCCTTTCTAATATGCGTTTCTACCCCTTTTCTTGAGTTCTGGCATGTGTGTTCGCTTTTGAGAAATATAAAATTGAACAAATAATTATCCTCTTCAAAAGTTAGTAATACATAACACTGTTCTAATTCTAAATATAAGACTTGATTTTTTATATTATATATATTATATAAGGATCTTACAGTTAGAACAGGAGAAGTAGTATATTTGCATTACATTTATAATGAAAGTCCTCACCTATTTGTCCAAAAAATGAAAGTCTTATCATCTTTTTTTTAGTCAAAATAAAGCCTTTCTAGCGGTGAGAGACATCCTGCAAACCTTTGGAGAAGCCTGGCCACTTGTTTGATTTCCTTTTTTTTTTTTATTTCAGTTTCAGCAAATAAAAAAAGGAATTCTTGTTTGGGCAGGTGAAACCCAAAAGGCAAGTCCATAAATAGAGATGGTGGAAGTAATAAACATGGAACAGAGTACGTAATGGAAAATTGTGCAGACACAGCCGTAAATGCTCGCCGATGCGGATTGCGCTAGACTCTGAGAGCACGGAGACAACAGCGAATTAAGCACAGATTTATAAACCATAATTCAAAAGCTCTTTTTTATTTTTGGCCGAAATTCAAAAGCTCCTTAAAAATCATTTTAAACGGCTTATATATATATATATATATATATATTCCCTCTGTCCCTTATTATATAATCTAATTTTTTAAATATTTTTCTTTTTTTATAAGATTTTTTTTAGTTTCTTTGAATATTTAATGTATTATTACTTATTTTACCCCTAATTTAATACATCTAATATATTCTCTTCATTCATTTATCTCATTATTATTTTCTCATATCTGCCCATTTATATATAGGGATATATTCCAAAAAAATTGTATTTGTTACATATTAATTATTTTTAACTAATTTTAACTGTTTTTTTAAATCGTGTAATTTAGTTTAAAAAAATTATAATAAAGAACTAAATAGTATTTGCTTTTGTATTTGTACTAGTATTTTTCACGAACCGGTGGAACACGTTACAGCAGGATGTCCATTTAATGTCTGAAACAGCCAACAGTAAGTTGACAAGGATGAATTTGGATTATTCCATCTAATTCAAAATATAAGTAGAGATTTGGTTTTACACTAAATATTAATTTTTAATTTATTTTATCTTCTAAATTGATAGGTTTTTTAAAAAATATTGACATTGATTGTATATAAAAAAATTTCATGAAAAATAGTTTTGAATACAAATGATTTAAGAGAATGTTTTGAGAAAATTAATCAATTCACATTTTTATAAATAGTTAATTTAATT